CCCCTGGCCGCAGCCGGGCTTCCTGGAGGCGGGGCTCGCGCCGGCCGCCCGCCGCCCTCCGGCCGGACACTCACCAGTTCCCCGAGCCCACGATGCACACTTTCAGTGGCGCCTCTGCCATGGCCACGCCGGTTCGATGCATCCCTGCCCGGGTCGCCCCGGCCCGCGGACGCCTCGACTCGCCCGGCCCAGCTGGAAGCGGCGCACCGAGACCCCACCCTGGACCGCCTCTGGGCCAATGGCCACCGCCACCCCGCCCGGGCGCCCCCGGGCCACAGCTGACAGCCGCGAGGCCCCGCCTCGCCACTCCCAAGAACCCCTGCGCACGCCTGGCCAGGGCCTGGCGGCCGCTCCCAAACCCCACCCCTTCCCGAGGCATTTCGGGAAGTGTAGTCCACGCCCCGCCCTCGTGCACACCCTAGTCTTTGGGCAGCACTAGCTGTCTCTGCTCTGGGGTTTGAGCTGGCTGCACCCTCTGGGACAGGGTAGGTCCGACCCAGCCCCTGGGGGGGGTCCTCCCCTTGTGCTACAGGAACTGACACTGCCATTTGGCGTCCTGGGGTCGAGTTTCTAAATTCAACCCCAAAGTCACTCGGACTTGACAAATCTCCCTGAACACACCTGTCTCTCCAGCCTCTGCAATTCGGAACTTCCTGGTGAACTTGGATCCTCTGAGGCCTGTGCACCGGAGGGCTGGAGACTAATCTATGTAGAGGCAAATCCGGAAATTGAATGGAGGTGAGGGGACAGGGGTCACACTCACACTCTTCTGGGCAGGCCTTGGCTCCTCCTAGTCTTGGCAGGTCTGACTGGCCCTTGTTTGTGTTGGTTTGTGGCTGTTTTTTTTTTTCCTTGTTTTTAATGGTGACTGTCGTGGGGCTTGAACTCAGGGCCTGGACACTGTCCCTGAACTTCTTTTTTTTGGGGGGGTTCCGATTTTGGGGCCTGAACTCTGGGCATGGGCACTGTCCCTCAGCTCTTCAGCTCAAGGCTACCACTCTACCACTTGAGCCACAGTGCCACTTCCGGCTTTTTTTCTTATTGCTTATGTGGTGCTGGGGAATGGAACCCAGGGCCTCATGCATGCAAGGCAAGCGCTCTACCACTGAGCCACCTTCCCATCCCCATGTCCCTGAACTTCTTTTGCTCAAGTCTAGCACTCTACCTGATAGATTAGTAGACTTTGCCAGAGAACCATGCAGACATCCAGGTACAGAGAACAAAGAAAGGTTTATTGCCAGGAAAGGGGCTGGCAAGACTGCTTCTCACAAGGGAGAAGAGGCTCTGACTATTGTCTGGGGTGACCTATATAACCTAGGGGGTTTAGGAGGGACTAGAAGGGGCTAGGAGGCAGAAACCTTGGTGTGGACATGAAGGCCAAGGGCTTCATCATGGATTTATGGCACTGCCCAAGTAGTAGATAAGGGACCCTGCAGCTTCCCAGACCTGAAAATCACTCTAAGGGGTTCTTGTGGTCTTACAGGGTGTAGCTGTCCCAGAGAAGTGCCCTCCCAAGGTAAAGGCAGTTGGAAGCTGATTATTTACTGCCTTTACTAAATGGGCCTAGTGTTGCCTAGGAAGGGAGCACGCTAAGCTGTGGAGAGGGGAAGGAGTGTGCTAAGCTATGGGAAGGGAGCTCATTTTGCTAACACTACCACTTGAGCCACAGCTCTTGTTCTAAAGATTTATTAGAGGTAAGAGTCTCAGGGAGTGCTGGGAATGTGGCTTAGTGATAGAGTGCTTGCTTAGCATGTATGAAGCCCTGGGTTTGATTCCTCAGTACCTCATAAACAGAAAAAAACAGAAGTGGTGCTGTGGCTCAAGTGGTATAGCACTAGCCTTGAGCACACAGTTGCTCAGGGCTGTCCAGTCTGGCTTCAAACTGGAATCCTCAAATCTCAGCCTCTTGAATAGCTAGATTATAGGCATGAACTACCACGTAAGGCTGTCATTTGTGGCTCTAAGACATGCTTTCCTCTGTCCTCATTTTGAGTGTCATTCTGCAATGACACTGAACTAGATGCTGTCTGAGAAGGATATGATTGTTGAAAACAGGTTAAACTATTACTGTTCCCACTGGAGGTAGCTTGGGGATAGCCGTAGGCCCAGGCAACCCAGATCAATTACATCAGAATCCTGAGAGGCAGGACTCAGATTTTAATTTTTCTTTTCTTTTCTTTTGTGCCAACAGTGGGGCCTGAACTGAGGGCTTCATATTTGCTTGGCTTTATCCAATCCAGGTTGGTACTCTGTCACTTGAGCCATACCTCCACTTGAGCATCTTGCTGGTTAATTAGAGATAAGCATTTTACGGACTTTTCTGCCCAGGTTTGCTTTGAACTTCGATCCTCAGATCTTACCCTACTGAGTAGCCAAGTGTATAGGCATGAGTCACCAACACTCTGTCAGATATTTCTCTTTTTTATTTCTTTTTAAAGTTCAAAACGTGATTACAAAAACAAACACCTAGCTGGTCACTGGTAATCCTAGCAACTCAGGAGACAGACATCTGAGGATCAATGTTCACAGCCAGCCCAGGAAAGAAAGTACATGAGATTCTTATCTCCAGTTAACCCCCAGAAAACAGGAAGTGGAGCTATGACTCAAAGTGTTAGAATGTTAGCTTTCAGCAAAAGAGCTCAGGATCCAGGCCCTGCATTCAAACCCCTTGATGGAAAAAAAAAAAAAAAGAAACCCCAAAACCTGTGATCCCAACATTTACTTGGTGTCTGAGTTGGAGGCCAACCTGAGCTACATAAGGACATCTTGTCTTAAAAGGCTGAGGAAGGAAAATAGATAAAGAGCTTTAGAACAAAAATCTATGGACATTATATAAAGAAATAAGTACTCTAGCATGTAGAAAAATTCTAGGCCTATTAGCTTGATGAAAGCACATTCAGTATTAGGTTACCTTTGGACTCTATGTGAAAGAATTATCTGATTTATTCCCTGTGTTTAAGTACAGATATACTTTAATGAGGTCTGCTTGGCAAGCCAGTCCCTCCTAAGCAGCTAGGATCACAGGCATGAGCCACAGGTGCCTGGCATATTAACATATTTCTTCATGGAGTTAAGTGAATCTTGCTTGGAGAAAGGAAAATAGCCTTGAAACTTCCCCCCCCCCCCATCTCTATGTAATCCTTCCACACAGCCCATTTACTGCCACCATCCTGGCTTCACTTAAAATGTCATTCAACCATAATAAGAACATTATGTTTTATATTCTTGTAATACTGTCTCCATCCTGTGCGTGACATACAATTAACTGTGCTTTTCATTTGTGTTAATATTTGAATTCATTCTTCTCTTCGTGTTAGACCATAAATTCCATGAAGATGGGTCTATGTAATGCTGGATTCCCCAATCATACCTGAAACTTGGTAGTCACATATTGTTAAATAGGTGAATATTTGGCTAAAGAAAATAAATTTGACAAGGCTTTGTGATCTTCAAATATTTTACATATTTTAATATTTTACATATTTCCCTGCAATCTGAAAAATTACACAGGATTCTAGATACTCCTATTCAGTGAGACCAAAAAAGAATAGTCTCAGGAGAGAATCACAAAGGTGCAATGCCTAAATGCCTCTTAATATTTATATAAAATAATGTACATATAGAAATGAACTCTAAGCCGGGCGCTGGTGGCTCATGCCTGTAATCCTAGATACTCAGGGGACTGAGATCTGAGGATCGAATTTCAAAGCCAGCCAGGCAGGAAAGTCTGTGAGACTCTTATCCCCAATTAACCACCAGAAAAAAAAAAAAAAAACGGAAATGGCATTGTGGCTCAAGTGGTAGAGCTGTAGCCTTGAGCCGAAGAGCTGAGGGACAGTGCCCAGGCCCAGAGTTCAAATTTCATGAGCAGGGCTGGGAAGGTGGCTCAGTGGTAGAGCACTTGCCTTGCATGCTGGGTTCGATTCCTCAGCACCACATAAGAAAAAAGAAAAAAGCCGGAAGTGGTGCTGTGGCTCAAGTGGTAGTGCGCTAGCCTTGA